CAATTTGTATCATTGAGCTCCTGTTAGATGTCATTGCGATTGTTGGTGATTGAATTTCTGCGTCACTATCAAGTGAACTTGTTTTCCAATTTATGCCAGGTTCATTTTCACTCATAGGATTATGAAGTATGTATCCATTATTAGGTGATCCATATAGCTTTTTGAAAACCGTTTTCTTTAATAAACAACATGATATAAGAATTATTATCAGTGCGATTATTACAATTCCAATAATTAATGGTATATGAAATGGTGATTCTGAATCAAAAGGATTTGTTACTGTATCTGTGTCTGCCGATACTGAATTTTTTGATCCTATTAAAGTATGTGTTGATTGTATAGATTGTGTATTCGTTGAGTTGGACTGCGATGTTCTTGTTGGAATTGAATTTTTTGTAATTGAACCTGTCGAAATTGTTGTATTAGAATTGTTTGGAATTGATTCTGTCGAATTGGTTGTATTTGATTTGTTTGGAATTGATTCTGTCGAATTTGTTGTACTTGAACTTGTAGTTTGTGGATGACTATTCTCATCAGCAGAAGTGGTAGTAATGCTACTATTAGCATTATTGGCATTTATGCCATCGTTTATGCTTTGACTTGTATTATTATCTCCATAGTTGTCTCTACTGCCACCTCTGTCATGATCTCTGTCATGATCTCTGCCACGGTTTCTGTCATTGTCTCTGTCATTATCTCTGTCATGGTCTCTATCATGGTCTCTATTGCATTTATTGTCCGTGCTTGTAATACATACAACGACTTTATGATCCATATCCTAATTTCTCGCGGTAATTTGGCGGAACAGCGGATAAAAATATCAAGAATGAAACCTGGCCGTTTTTTATGAAAGAAAAATAAGGGTAAACAATACGATTCTTGAATATTAATCCGCAAAAGAATATCAAATCGCGATAATAGTAATAAATCTTGCATTTTTCAATATATATATCCCTGAAGTTTTAGTTCAAATGTTTGGTATGACAAATGTAAGATTTTAAAGCTAACCATTTTAAGTAAAAAAAGATCTCTAAATATATTTTATAAGAAAATGTTTCACGAATAATCGATACCAATGGTTATTAGTTTCACAATCTTAGTACTCTTTGTCTGAGTGTTTTTTGTTTATATCCGTAAGAATAATAGTTTGCATAGAGTCGTGAGGCGGTTAATATCGGTAATTTACTCATTGGGAAAAAAATTTAATTCAATTGGTTTGTTATTTACAGCATAATGCACAATCTTGCCGTAATATTTGTCCAATAAATTATGGGAATTAAAAAAATTGCTCGATATTCCGTTGATCTTAATTAACATAGTATATATATATATATTTAATAATCTGCAAAATTTTTTTTATTTAATGATTTCTTTTTATAAATTAACGACTTCCTAAGATAGAAATAATTTTTATCAAGAATGAAAATCGAGAATTTTTTATATTTATCGGAAAATTGCACCGATCTGCGTGCTACAGTATCGAAATATCAAGCATAGGTACAAATGGTAGATACCAGGGAATCGGAAAACTATTTTGGATAACTAATAAGATCAAAATTTTAGCTAAAGCTATAGAAAATTCATCCGTTCCTCGGGTACGTACGTACGTAACGTTGTCTTTAAAATCTTTAAAAGGTGGTGCCAACCTTTCAAAATTTTCAAAATAAACTCACTACAACTAATATCAATTATCTTGTTGATTACCATAGGGAATCCATAGGTTTTTAGTAGAAAAAATTTTGTCATTAAAAAGGATGCTCTTGTGTGAATTTAAATGCTCCAATTTATTCTCCTACAGTACTTCTGATTTTAATACTTTAATAGAAAACTTTAAATCAAGAAACTTTCATTCAGAAAAACTATCGATAATGTAGTTAAAGGTAATCTAAATATAATTTCTGATCCTTTGTTGTTAACCTAAAACAAGAATCTAATCTTGATACGTGTACTGTCAATGAGAATTCTAATAAAATTTTAGAAAGTTTAAAAATACAGTCAGACTTCCCTAAATGTAACCCCTAAATGCAACACCTCCCTAAATGCACGATGGAAAGCTAGCTCCACAATGGGACTTATAGATAAGTGCACGTTAATTGTTTGGCCCATTTATAAAAACTCCCTTAATAAATGCACCCATGCGATTATTAGCCAATCAAATTTATTAATTTTAGGCTGCTAAAGCCATATTTGGGGTTGAATCAATAGAAATAAAGCAAATATTTTTTAATAAGTTTTTTAAACAAGAATAACAACAAAAACTTGATCAAATTTAATAAATTTTTTTTAACTAATTCTACAAGTTTATAAAAATTATTTAAAAAATTTTTTATTAAATTTGGTTACGTTTTTGTTAAGTTATTCTTACTTAAAGTTATAAAAAATTTTTATTATAAAAAATTTGCTTGATTTCTATAGACACCCATTTATTACGTGATAATAGTCACATGATCTTATTAGTGTTCTCTAATTTACTGGCTACGTCCGACTGTAGAATAACTTAGAAGTCGAAATTATAGTAGTATTATTATTCTTTGTTATTCCGAAATATGAAAAAAGAGGTTTTACAGTCAGACCCCCCTAAATGCACGTCGTCAGGACCAGCTCTAGGCGTGCATTTAAGGAGGATTGCAACTAGAGAACACTGATAAGATCATAATGTGACTATTATCTGTGATAAATGTGGCTTTAATAGCCTAAAAATAATAAATTTTGATTGCCTAATAACGATAATCGCGTGAATGCATTTATGGTGAGAGTTTTTATAAATGGGCAAAAATTACAGAATAAAGAACGTGCATTTATCTATATTCCCATTTGTGGGGCTAGCGTTCCATCGTGCATTTGGAGAGGTGTTGCATTTAAAGAGGAATTGCATTTAGGGTTGCATTTAGGGTCTGAACTTCAAAATCTATTCGCCAATTCAATACTACAGTATTGTAACGTGAAGACCAAGTAATTTTTGAATAAACTTAGATGATATACTGTCAGTTAGAGTCATACAAATAACCACGAAAACTGTTAGGCGGCATCCATAAGCTAGTGCTGTATTGTATAGAATAGAAACCTTGATGATAATACCATATGGGGTCTTTGCCTTGAAAATGACCTTACGGGACTATGTAGATTTTATGAATAAAAATCAAAATTTCTAGCAATCCAGTAATCCAATTCAAATAATCCTCTTTTTATTTTGTAGAGCTTAGTGAGTTCTACAAATAAAAAAAAAATTATTTGAATTGGATTATTAGATGGCCAGAAATTTTACAAAATCTTACATAGTCCCGTAAGGTCATTTTCAAGGCAAAGACCCCGTATAGTACTTTTTTAAGACTTCTATAACAATATTAAATTATGAATGTCGCCTTATAAATAATTATATTTGCTACGTATTAAAATTTTATTAAAATGCAAAATTATTTTATTGTATAATTATTATTATGCTGTATATTAATAAATATTATTTGGATTCTTTTTTCATTTATCGTTATACGTACTGCATAAAGATGGGCTAAAGCAGAATGAAACTTGCATTGATTAACCAATTTACTGTAAATATTGGATTTTCGCGAAAAATACAAAATAAAAACGGAAGCTTTGGGGAAGGTAATTTACTGTAACTGGTCCTATCTCTAAAGAAATCTAAATTAACATTTGTTAATTATATCTTGCTCTACTTGACCTTCTCTATTTCTGCCAAATTTGTTCTAGTTGTCTTATTTTTTTCGTTGCCGAATCTATACAATTTTATATATAACGCAAGAATAGACAACAAATTCTCTGTAATAGTACTAGTCTAATTAAACGTTTATAGAATAATCAACAATAACCTATTTTTAGTAAAAAATATAGTAAAGATGTCATGATAATATATACGTATTAATTTTACGTATATCAGAAAACATTGTTAACCGATAAAGAAAAACATAAGTAACGTAGCCTATACTGATTGAGATACAGTCAGCTGTTCATGCTTGTGCCAAGAATTAAGCTTAATCATAATACATGCACTCATAGGAAGACTTTCGTATGATTGGCTGTTTAAATCAACATTATTTATACAGTTTAAAGTA